GTGCCTGACTCTACCGCTCAATGATCTCTGCGCTCATGGCAACGACGGAGCTTGACAACCTCACCGTCGACGTCATCCTCGCCAAGACCCTCGCTGAGGAGTCTATGCGCAAGAACGGTCAGGCCCGCCTCTCGCATCTCGCAGACCAAGCCCAAGAAGACTGGCCCTTGTGGTCATTGTGGCAGTCAGACCCATCACGAGTCGACTTGCTACAAGAAGCATCCTGAGCTTCGTCCTCAGGGCAAGGACAAAGGCAAGAAGAAGGACAAAGGGAAGGGAAAGGACACTTCGAATAACCATGCTCACGTCGCCGCTCCATCTGCCAATGTACTTGTAGCCGAGTCCGCTGTCGCGGACGCTGAAATGCACGCTTCTTTCTATACTGCGGCTAACGCCGCTGGTGTGAGGCATACGCGTTGGCTTATGGACTCTGGAGCCTCTCAACACGTCACCTGGTGCCGCGCAGACTTTGCCACCTACCAAGACTATGACACCCCCATCAACTTCAGTACCGCCGCTCAAGGCGCTGGGAGTGTTGTTCAAGGTGTTGGTGAAGGCACGGTTAAGGCTCAGACGTTTATCGACGGGGTCAAGTGGGAGATTACCATGCCTAACGTCTGCTACGTCCCTCGGGCGTCGACACGGCTCTTCTCCACTGGTACCATTGAGCGTAACGGTTATTCACTCTTCCAAGGAGACGGGAAGATGACCATCTTCGACAAACTGCCCAAGGGCTCTGTCGTTCATGGTGCTACGGTCTCTATTCTGGGACATAAGGTCCTGGAGGCGGCTTATATGCCCCATTCCAATCTCTATGAGTTAGATCTCGAGATTGCGGCTAGTCAGACCGTTAACCCTGCCGTTCGAGAACGGCCCCCACGAACTATACCTCCGTATGGCTTCGGCGCAAAAGCCCATGGCCCCCCTCAAGATGTACGCCAACGTCATCGGCAAGTTTACTGTGGACCGCCAGCTCGGGGAGAAGGTCGAAAGTTCGGTGCGTGACCGAACGCTAGAGGCCGAGAAACAGCGCACCGAGCGTAAGGCCATATACCTCGACACGCCCCCGGATCTGAGCCGCTCCAGCGCAAAGGGGAGACGGAAGGACGCGACAGCCCCTCGTCGCCCAGCTCTGCCCCCCGCCAACCGCCCGCCGTCGGGCATGAAGACGAGGGTGGCGTCACCGCTTCCGGCCTCTGGCTCCCACGGGAATGGATCAACAAACGAGGTTCCCCCGACGAGAGCGCGTCTGATCCATTGCCTGGCGCTCAAGCCTCGGACATCCGATCAGGCCATCGGGTTGTGTGTGGGGAAGGATCCGTCTCCGCAGATGAAGAAGGAAGTGATCTCACTGTTGCACAGCGTGAGTTGTCTGGGCACTATGTGATTATATGCGCTCTCTGACAGCTGCGCAGGTGGGGCAGCCGAAGGTTGGAACTAGGGGCAGCGGCCCTGATACGCCCCAGCTATGGGAGCTGAAGCCCGAGTCGTGGCGCGACGTGCGGCCGTACGGGTGGCCCTTGTTGGAACCGGACGAACGCCTGAGTCTATCGCGGCAGGCACGCGGGATCTACAAGAGCCTGAGGATCCCAGAGTCCGACCCCGTCTGGGAGCATGCGCGCTATCGCGAAGCCGACGGCGCGTCGGCCAAGTCAGCGGCGGGCCCCAGCGCGGCGGGCGTAGAGCCCAAGAAGGGCATGATGTCTAAAGGCACGACGAAGAAAGCGAAGCCTGCGGAGGGAGTGCGGAAGAAGGTGCCAGAGATCATCATCGCGAAGGACGAAAGCGCGCGTCCGGGTCGAGATGAGCACAGCGTCAAGGGTAGAGCGCGCGAACGCGACGCGGACGAGGGAAGCGGCGCTGGTACGCCCACTAGCGCGACGCGGCCTACGATCCGGAGGCCTGGATCCGGATTCAAGCTCATCCCGAAGGCGTCCGCCACACCACCCGCCACCGACCTGCGCGCACACTCGCCTCTTCCTCCGAAGAGAACAGGACCGGTGGATGCTCGAGAAAGCAAGCGAGAGCGCGAGCTACCCGCGCCCTCGGGGTCGGCCAGGCCGCTTCCACCGATCGCACCGCCGACGGCGTCGCCGCAGCCGAAGAGCTCCACGCCCCAGTTCCGGAAGAAGACCAAGGAGGAGCGTGCCATCGAGGAACGACGAGAGGAACGGCAGCGCGAGCGCGAGCGACAGAGTACGGCAGACGAGCGACAGCGGTCCAGAGGGCAGGGGTCGCCTGTTCCTCTGAAGCGCAAGAAGGCTCCGCGAGACGGAGACGACTCTGAGTATTCGGAACGCGACGTCCCGCTCAGCAACACGAAGAAGCGCCGTTTGGACGACCAGCAGAGCGCCGCTGAGAAGCCGCGCGGGCGGGACCATTCGCTACCAAAGAAGCCCGTGCTGCGCGAGCCCTCGCCTTTGCGCCCGCCGCCCATGAAGGTGAAGAAGGAGCCGTCGCCGTCATCGCTCGCGTTCTCGCCACCGCCGCGCTCGTCTCTGCCGCCCAGGCCTTCGATGCCGGAGAACCCGCAGCCGCCCTCGTCCTCATCGTCGAGCGCGAGCGCGAAAGACGACGGCCCGCATCGCGCGTCAAGCACGAAGCGTCGTCGGCCCTCGATCCAATTCACCTCGTCCTCTGATGAGTCCGACCCCCCACCCCGTGTCGAGCCCGCCGCGAAGAAGTTCAAGGTGAAGCCGAGGCACCCCGCCCGTTTCAAGCCCCGCGCGGCGATCCCCGCAGACCGTACGGGCCTCCGCGGATACTACAAGACCTGCTTCTTGGTGTATATCCGGCTGTACCAAGAGCAGGCGCAGCGGCGGGACCGGATCGAACGCATGTTGAACGGGGAAGCGAGCGGGGACGACGATGCGGACGGGGACGCGGACATGGACGACCTTGACCCGGACGCGCTCGTCACGTTCATGGCGGAGTTGCAGGCGGTCACGGATGAGATGAACAAGATCAGGGCAGCATGGGAGCACCTGGGCGGGAGCGTAGACTCTTCTGGGGAGCTCGTGGATGAGTAGAGAGGGGCCGCAGGGTGTGGTGCCGCTCGCGGGGATGATATAGAACGGTTAATCGGCGGCCTTGCGAGGCTTGTTGTATTTGTATCTTTATTGGATTCAGGAAGCATTTGGATACGTCTTTGCTCGACGTAAGGAGCAGATCCTTTGGGTGCCTTCCTTTGGCGAAACTTGCTGAGCATTGTGGTTGTTCATACGGGTAACGGGATGAATTAATGAACGTAGTCGCTACTTAGTACTTGGTACTTACTGCCCAGGCAGCTCGGCCTCAGGCCTTGCCAGGGGGATGACAGACAAGCCGGGCCGGCGTCCCGGGACGCTGTGGGGGAAACGCCACGACGCGTCGCGATCGCGGCGAGTGTACGCGCGCTTGTACGCGCCACTCTGGTTGGACCGTATTCGTTGACTTTTGACGACGTGAAACTGGACTACTGCGTCTGCACTACCTCAACATACCCGGCATTCAGGCCGATATCCAGCTGCTTAAATCACTACGTACTTACTTGGAACACCGATGGACTGCAAATGGGAAGACCCAGAGTGTTTACAGGATGAAGGAACAGACCCGCCCCCAGTACGCTCTTCTGCTTTTCGCTCTGCACAACCCCACAGGCTCACGGGCTATGTCTAGCTTCCGGGAAACTTGGCAGAAATAAACCAGCCAAGTATCATGATACCCTTCTGGTTGAGCTACGACTCTTGGTTCCAGACACACGGCATCCTGCTGTACCCGCTGAGTCGGCGATGGTTCCCTCCAGAGGATCAGCCCCAAGACCCCGTGTTGCCATTCGCTCATCGTCTCTCTTGGAAGGGAGAGAAAATACATGGGCTCGGACTACAAGTATGCGCGTTCTTCTTGACTATAATCCTCCTTGGCACTCACGTTCACATTTTGTCAGACTAGGTTCGGTTACGGACAGGATTTGTCCGGCCGCGACGTGTTTATCAAGATCATAGAGAAAGGCTCTGTCGAGCACGCTATCAACAGTTACCTCCTCGAGAACGGCGACTTGTTCCAAGGAGACCAATTCCCATCCGTTCTACCACCCATTGCGGTTCTCGATTCCCCGTACCATTTTTCCTTCCTCGTGATGCCACTGTAAGTCACCGTGTCAGTCACAGAGTCCCGGTTTTGATACCAATTACTTTGTTTCAGCTGGAACTCGAGCATCCAAATCCAGGACAACTTCGTGACGGTGCGCGATGTGATGAAGCTAGTGAGATGTCTCCTCATGGTAGGGCTTGGCTTGACCCTCAAGTATTCGACTTAGCTGACTAGGTCTTGAAGGGTTTAACATTCCTCCACGACCATAGAATAGCTCATCGGGTAGGGGTAGCAGCCGGAACGGTTGTAACATTCGGGCTGACACTTTGGTAGGACATCAACCACACCAACGTGCTAATGAACTGCTACTCTCCAGCACTGGACGACTATTGGGCGCGCGATATGCTTCGCGACCACATACAAACGTCGGGCCGCGTCGAATACGCCTTGTTTGACTTCAACCTATCGGTCCAGTTCCCGGCAGATCTCGACATTCGTACCGCCCGTCTCCCGTCGCGCGAAGCATGGTGTGGAGCTCTCATGTTCCATCCGACCGACGCCACGATGGGTCAGCCCGAGTATAATCCCTTCCCGTTCGACGTTGCCTGCCTGGGCAATCTGCTCTTGTATCATTTCTCCGTACGTCTCGTCGCTACCATTGGGCCACTTGCCGCTGACGATGGATTAGAGCGTCGTGCCCGTCGTACCCCCCCTCGCACCCTTATTCGCACGAATGACGACGCACGTCATTGGACAGCGGTTCACAGCGTCCGAAGCGCTCGTTTTCTACGACGAGCACTTAGGACATCTCTCCGAGGAAGTTTTGAAGACCAGCATAGTGGCCAAACCCAGCTTCGACCCGCTGAACGACCCCGACTTGTACTGGAGGCAGCTTGGGACCGGGGACCGGGAGCGATGGAGTCAGTACCGCGTACCTCCTCGGCCTTGGAGTCACCGATTCCTACTTTGGCTTTCCACCTGGCCGTCCGGATGGGAGATTTATTGCACAGTACGATCTATCCTACACGTATAACGTTCTCTCCGCTTCGGATCGGATTATCTGCATGCTTTGTATTCATTTGATTTGCTTCCAGACAACGGCGCGTAGGACGTTACGGCTCGCATATGGCACCCCTTTGTAGGGGTCTAGCGTGAACACAATGAGGGAACAATGGCAGAACCCGGAAAGGCAAGTGGGGGCGACAACGGCATCCGTATTGTTCCCAAACATCATCTAGCCTCCTTGATTCCTAAGTCATGACGTGACGTGCCCATGCCCTCGGAAACGAGGACGCAGACCGGGCAGGGCAAGTCCGCCCTGGGTCTCGTCCAAGCCTTGGTCGGTGGCTAGTGGCCCCGCTACGTACGAGCGACCTTACACAATCATTATTATAGATAACCGCGTCTGTGCAGCGCCGTTGTATGTCCGACGCTGCAGTGGTGACAGACTGGGATGACTGCTCCTCAAGATGACTGGTAGGGACGCTGTTCGGCGGCGGTACATGGTTCCGTGGGCCCTGCGAGATCAGAGAGGTACGGACTACGATGGGCACCGATAACGGTACTTTTTCTCAAGATCTCCCCTTCCGCCCCCGCGATCAGTGCATGAAGCATCCTTTGCGGAACACGGGACCAAGCCGCACACATATGGCTTGTCATTTGGCTCACACACCGTCCCAAATGAAAGCTTCCCTCTGACTCAAGACACGTCGTTTAGGACAGGTCGGACCCGCCATGCATTCCTCTATCTATCTCACCGCATCGGGACAGAACATGCGGACTTCGTGGTAACCGGCACCCAGAGGAGTATAAATGCAGTCGCCGACGACGCTGGGACTCGGATCTCCAGTCTCACACCTTCTCGTTCCCCTGCCCAGCCCAGCCCACTCGCTGCCATCGTTGGCTGTGACTGCTATCCGTGATGATGCACCCTACAAACCGCGGTTTGACTGTCCCAGCCCCGGGTGCAGGTGGACGTCGTAGCGCTACGGCTACTCCTATCCCTCGCACCACCTGGCGTCCTCAGGATGAAGTGAACCTTAGCCTGAAGGTAAGCTTCAAATCGGTGCATGCGCGACACTGCGCGGGGGGCTCGAGCCTTGACTAACCGACACCTCTACTGCAGCCGAGCAAGAAACCATGGGTCAAGCTCATTTCCTACGTCAACGACGAGTTCAAGGCGGGCCGTGTGGTGCAGGTCTTCGATGCCAAACAAGTTCCCCCGAGCCCAACCGAGGTACGCCGCCGTGACTGCTTCTATCCATCTAAAGAGGACAACATACTGATTTATTGCATACCAGTATGCGAACCAGACCAAAGTGTGGCAGCGCACCGACGCTGACACTCAGTATCGAATCCGGAAACGTTTCCGGGAACGGTCCTACCAACTAGTACAATCGCCCTCTATTGGCACCAGTGCTGTGATACCGCATGCGAGGCTCCGGACGGCCCCCGGCGGTCCAGCTGGCCCAGAAGTGTATAACCGCTTCGGTGCTGGATTTGTGGTGAGTCCCCCTATCTCCCATGCGTGCGTATCTGCTGTTGTTGACATACAACCCCGTCGATTTTCAGTATTATTTGTCGGAGAGAACATCCTTGAAGTTCGGAGACCTTACTCTGAATGTTCCGGTGGACACCGGAGTTACCATCGCTTTCCTCACGTCTGGCGCGGTGAGTGTGCTATCTCAGCATTGTAGCCTCCCCTGCTAACATCTTCGGACTTCGGTGCTGATCCTCAGGGCGGTCCTAAACATATACTGCCGTCTGGGATGACGAACACCAAGCACGCGTGTTACGTCATCAACTACATCGTGCAGGTCGAAACTTGGCACTACGTCCCCTGTGCCAACGGCCAGAGTTTCGCGAACTTGGAAGAGATCACGGACGACGGCGTTCTGAAGAAGATCCAAAGGAAAACGCTGGCGCCGCCAGTGATAGTCTCGGCGGAGAAGCTGAACCCCGATCAGCGTGCTGGGGAAGACCCGGTGTTGATAGAGGAGAAGGATTAGCGTGTTTTGACCAAACTGTGGGTCTCATTGCAGCGGATGCTGCACAGGGTCCTTGGTTTTTTTGTGCGAATAATCTGCGTCGACGTGGTGGTGCCCGGGGCAACAGAGTAGTCGCACCTGATATGTGACGCCTTACCTACCAGTCCTGAAGAATGCTACTGAAATATGACGAAAATTTTGTGTCTGGCGTACATACGGACCAGGAATCTAAAACATCGTTGGGCAGCGATGGGCTTGGTGTGATCATCTGTTACAATGTGAGCTGCGCAATATATATTGCACATTTGAGTGGACCGCTGGCACATAGTGTATGGTGCTAACGGCGAACACAACCCAGGTTACAGAATGAACGCCTCCCCCCACCGACAATCACACGCACGCACCGGTCTCGGCGGGTCGACTGGAAATTTATACTTGCCGTTCACATTTTGTCAACTCACCTGATTGCTGTGACAGGCCATCGTAATCTGAGGGCTCATAGGGCCTAAGATCGACGCGAGTCGACCCAAACTTCACCCGCAGATTCTGGATAGTAAGTGTGCCCAAGAGCGACATTAATCGCAAGCTATCCTTATACGCTCATGACAGTGAGTCGACGGAGCTGATTGAGGATAGAAATTGCACGCACGAGCACAGTAGCGACGTCAGCATCGTCCTTTCCAGCATCCAGCCCCGTGTTGACGGAGAGTGTGAGGAGCCGCACACTGCCCTGCCCTCGGAGAACAGCGCATACGTTGGCGGGCGAGAGAGGGCCCAAACTGCGCAACGTACTCGCCGCCTGCAAGTGCCTTCGTCTTCGGCAGTAGTTAAACTCGAGATGGCGCACAACAACGCCGTCGTGCTATGAGCAGTAAATCAAAGCTCAACACCTCACACGTGAAGCATACGGCACACGAAGCAAAGCATAGGCCACCCCTTCGGTGACTCCAAAAGCCGCATCAACAACAATGATATCCAAGGCAACCTTGGCGCCCTGAAATGAGCCCAGTGATCGCGGAACTCGGGGGTGGTACGGGCCCAGTACAGGTCTGGGTTCTCGAAGGACTCCCACTCCGTTCGCAGAGTGAATAGCATGACGAGTGCCGGTTCCGGGACCGAGGCGATTGCGAATTCGATAAAGCTGGCAGCTTCGACCGCGGTAAACCGCTCCGCTGCGACGTGTGTCGTCATCTTGTCAAACAAGGGCGCGAGGAGAGGTATCGTGGGTACTATGGTCTGTGGGGGTGGATTAGCGGCGTTGACGGTCTCTACAAGACATATACTCCCACCCACCGAGAAATGTATCCTGTAAAGGTTTCCGAGGCACGCGACGTCATATGCAAACGGATTGTAGTCGTATTCACCGCAGGAGGTATCGAGGGGGTGGTATAAGGGCGTGCCTTCGTATGATTCCATGGAGGGACTTCGGCAAGCTTTCAGTGGTGCGTCGCGAGGGAAGATGCGAGAGATGTCGAAATCGAAGAGGCAATAATGGGAATCCGGCGGGCTTTGGCACTTTTCAAGAAGATGGCGTGGGTACCTGGGCGAATAGGGATTGTAGTAGTTGACCAGCATGTTCCACTCCGAGATATCCTAAAGGCCTGTGTATAAGCAGAGATGGTTTGGATTGACAAGAAGGCACACGTACGCGATGTACTATGCGGTTTTCGTGTAACGTTCGTAGTCCCTTCAAAACAAAAGTTGGAAAAGGCTGCGTTTAGAACTGACGATCAACTCACCTGCGAAGTGCAGTGCATGAACTGCAAAACTTCGCCAACAGAGCTGAGGTGCTTAATGCCACCCATGTGGCCCCACTTACGCATTCCCATGTTGAGAGGACCGGAACGAGTGTATTCAAAGACTCACCTAGGCATGGCGATGAAGGAGAATGTATGATGGGTATCTAGGATTGCCACTGGACGAAGTATGCCGCAGCATTCGGTCTGAGGGGATACGGAATCAACGTCGAGCAGGGCTTGATATACACGGTATTCCTCCGATCCCGTGTATGTGAGTTTGAACGCGATATGTCGATGGTAGGAGTCTTGTGCCCATCCAATACGAGACTGGCCTTGCGTTCAGTACCAACCAGGCTAAACGAAGAGCGTGCGCGCTCACCAATGGGCAGTCATCCCGGATCCGCAAAAACTCCTCCCTCACACAATACGCATAAGGGAGAGACTCTGATTTAGCGGCTGCGAATGGCGGAATGCGCCAATCCAATCCTAATATCGAGTGGTCCATCGGGTGAAGGTTCAAGGAGAATCCACGGGCCACCAGCCACGCTTGCCATCCCAGCCAGAATCTAGTCATGTCGCAGTTATAAGGCCAGCCTTGAGGGAGCTGTGAGGGGTATGCTATGTCAGCTTTACGAACCTAGTACTGGTAGCCAGTAGACCTAAAAGGCAACTTCAACACGTACATCAGGGCAAAGATCGACGATGTCTTCGCTAGCATAATCCGCGTAAAAATCGCCATTTTCAGACATGCTTCAGCCCAGCGGTTACACTTAGAGATGTAGTGTATGGCCAGGTAGTGAAGCTCTCGCAGAGCAGGAGGTTGTGCTGACAGTAACTGGACGCGTCCTGGTAGTACTTAGCTGGGATCAAATCGCGTCGAAACTCGCACGCACGACGCCGGCGTCGCCAGCGCCACAATGGCCGGACGTCACACCACGTGATCGCGATCTCACTGCGCGCCTAATAGCCGGCCTCTGCGAGAGTGCTGTTTGGCGGGAACAACACTCGAAGGCAACCGTCCTTATCGTCTTTTTCGGTCGCCTCTCTCTTGCCATCGCCGCTTCTCTCTCTGCGCTTGCCCTCATCGTCAGACACTCTTTTACAAGTACTCTCGGCTTTCTGTGACGCTGCTCGGGCGCTGTAGCAGTCTGGGCGACATATAAGGACGGTCCTCGTCTCGAGCGACGCACCCTTGGTTGTCCCTGCCCCACTGTGTGCTCCTACCCAGACGTAGTCTGTGTTCGCCATCTCCGTAAAGCACCTGCAGACTAGTACGCCAAGATGCTTCGTTATTTGTCGCGTTCCACCTCTAGAGTGGCGGAGAAACCTGGGCCGCCTAGTGCTGGTAAGCTTCATGTTGCAGACAAGCAGTCTCCGGACAAACCTCTCATCGCGAATGAAGCACAAGGTATAGACACGGCCGCGGTCCCTGCCTCCGCGGAGACCAACCAGACGACATCAGCAATCCCTGAACCGCCAAGCATCCCCGCCGAGCAGCCGTCTCCCGATGCTGCCGTGCCCTCTCAGTCACCCGTTCCTCCTTCGCCAAAGGCAGTTTCCGGAACGACCACTACTTCCGGGTCCCCAGGCGCGCCCTCCTCGCCACTACCTGCTGCTGAGGATGGTTCCCCTCATCAGGGACCCACTTCCCGCTCCCAGAAACGTTTTTCCTGGCGATCGCTCGTCCAACCCAGAGGCGTAAAGGACCGCAAGTCCTCTCTCCCGCCCCCGCGTGAAGAGGCGGCCGAGAAGGTGACCGCCCGCCAAGAGTACATCGAGCGCAAGATGGTGCGCACCCGCTCCGAGCAGAGGGCGCACGCGTCCGCGCTCGTCGTGCGCGAGCTCATCGTCGGGCCGTTCGCTACGCCGACCGCCGCTCCGCCAAAGAGCGAAAAGGTCTCGGCGTCCGGGCAGACGTCGCTGCACAAGATGCGCAAGGTCAAGTCGCAGCTTCTCGAGCCGAAGACCGCGCAGAAGATCCTCACGCAGCTGCGTGCACTTCCTACCTCCGACGAGCCCATCGTCGTCGGGAAGACGGGCGCTGGGAAGCCGGTGACATCCCTACCAAAGGGCCCTATACACGCAGTATGTCTGCCCTGCATCGATGCGGAGGCGCACGAGAAGCATTTCTCCCGGTTGGACAAGCTGCAGGCCGCCGCGCCTGCTCCTCAAGTTACTACTTCAAACGCATCCCCGAAGACTAAGGAACGCAGCCTCGACCTGTCCGCAGTGGCGAGCGCGGCTGAGGAGATCTCAAGCGTAACTGCGACTTCGTTCGAGAAGCTGAAGGAGGTGCTCGCTGACCTCAACCTCGTGAGCCTCATCACGGCGCCGGACTTGGGGCTTGGCCATCCAGCCACTGGACCGGGGCTCTTCAGCGGGGCGCTTCCTAGCGCGGAAGCCATCGTGAATGGCATCGAACAGATGACCCCGCAACTCCTGGCTTTCGGATACGCGACAGGCCAGTCCATCCTGCCCTCTCATGCAGGGATATACCCCCCGACGGACCGTATGTCAGTCATCACGTGTACGTATGCGACTCTCAGTGCTAGAATACCCGATCTAACGCGCATATATGCAGACTGGTGGGGTCTGGAGGTCGTCATGCCCGAGCCGTCCATGAAGTACCTCAGCGTACGTTCAATCTCCCCATATATACACGTCACTACTCACGCATATTCAACCCTATCATCTATAGAACGTGCCCTCCATCGCGCACACCGCGATCAACTTCCTTACCGCCCTCGCGGTCGCCAACGGCGGCGTGAGCGAGATCCTGCCGTTCGTGCGCTACATCTCGCAATACCTCGACGCGGAGTGGCACATGATCCAGCAGGCGGACCAGGGCCAGGGCGTCGTGTGCGCCGCGACGTGGATCATGCCCGCCGCGCTCGTCCCGCGCGCCTGGGACTTCCCTCAACCTCCCGTCCTCTCCGACCCGCCTGCAGCCCCGGCCCATGGAGATGAGACAGCGGTGCCACCCGTGAGCGGAGCGACTCCCGCAGCGACGTACGGAAGCTCGGTCCCTGGCTCGTCGAGCCCGACGCTGCTTACGCCCCCGCTTCCGAACCCGAACCACGTTCCAGTGTTCGTGGCACCGCCGGGCGACCCGGCCGTGCAAGTGCAGGGTGTGCGGGGCAATCCTGATGAGGGCGTGCCCGGGGTCAAGGTGACCCCGCCGACCCCGCCTGCATCGGAGACCCTCGGTAAAGCGGCAGGGGAGGCTTTCAAGGCGGCCCCCGCTGTGGCGGCCGCTTGAGAGCTCCACGCGTTCTGACTGGATGGGCTCGCAAGATGGGATTCTGCCTCCGTATACCCGGGACTTGGACACGGACTCGTTGCATGCCTGGATCCTTCTATTGTTATGTCTTCCGCATCGTGTTGTCTTCGCAGTTCCTGTTCGCCCTCGTTACGACCTGACACGACCTTTCCGACATATATGCCCCGCACACGCGATACCCCCACACTCTGTAATCGGTTTACCATCAGCGCCGTATGTAACGGTACCAGCATCCATGTTCTCCGGCGCATTCTCGCCCCGTTCTATCGTACCTTCGAATTTTCTCTGGAGATGGCGAATCTTGCGCTGGGACGCCGGTGTCCTACACGGCATGTGAAGGAACCACGCAAAACCATATATCACCTGGACAAGCGTCCGATCCAACGTACACACGCGCATCTGCGATCTAGCCTACACCCCCATCGACGCCATCGGGCCCCTCCCGCGAACCGTGCTCCCTGGTGATACATACAGCTGCTAATGAGACAACAACAACACATCGTCCTGATCGTGCACCATCTTTCATCATCCTCGTCCGCGGGGCGCCATCGGCATCAGAAAGCCCAGGACCAAGGCAAGGCCCGATCACTGCGTGGTGACGATGCTGTCGGGCTCTGGGGCGGGCGGTCAGCGCTCGTGCGAGGTTCTGAATCCCAGGGACTCCTGCAGGTTCGATGGAGGGGGTGCGCCACCGCACACGCCTGGGCTCGCTCCGCGCGCGCGCGCGTGCGCGTGCCTGTCCCTCATTATGAGTATATCCCGCGCGCCGGGACTGCGTGCCGCTGCGCGGGGACGGTGGGCGCCGGGCGGAGCGCGCGCTCGCGAAGGCGAGAATGGGGTGGTGATGGTGTGTGGGGGAGGGGGACGTACCGATGTAATCGATGGTGTCGCTCTGCAGGGACTGCAGCTGGGTGAGGAACTGGTCAGGGATGGTGGCGGAGAAGCCCTGCGGGAATGAGCGGGCGGGTCAGCTCGCTGTGGGCATTGTGCGGTGCGGGCAAGCCGCAGGGTGCGTACCTTGAGGACGCTGTCGTAACGCTGCTGGACCTCGCCGCCTGCGGAAGAAGAGGATCAGCACTGGGTCGCGAGTTGAGCAGTGTGGCGGGCGGTGGCGACATACCGTTCGAGTTGACTTGGCTGGCGTACTTGTCAATCTCGGACTGGGTGACATGGTCCTTGAAGACCACGATGTACTCTATGCACCAGAACGTCTAGTGAGCACTCGCGCGCACTGCGCCACATCGGGGAGAGGAGATACGCACTTCCAGACATGTTTGGCGGGTTGGTCGTAATGGTGCGTGAGAGCGGTGGACGAGGTATACGGCGCAGGAGTGGGCGCGGGGTATGCAGAGCGATGCGAGAGAGAGTAAGAGGAGGAATGGCGGGGAGAGGTGAGAGAGCTGCGGGCGCGGGGAGTCCTTAAGAGGCCCCTTTGGAAGGGCCAGGCACAACCGTGGCGCGTTCGCGCATTGGCACGTGACGAGGCGCGCAACGCGTAATTACGCGCCACCCGCACCCCCCGCATCCCGCCTCCCACGCTCTCCCAACTGGGAACGGCTCCGTCCCCGCACAGTCATCCTGCCCAGCGGCCTCGGGAGTTGGCTTGTTGATAAACTACCGTCGTCGACGCCAATCAGTATATGCAGTTCGCCCTTACACACGTCTTCGTTCGACATCTGACGCGCCCAGCAACATCCACAAATTTCAGTATGGCTTTGACAAGGTCAGCAACGCGAAACACCGGTGCTACGCCGGAGGCTGCGCAACAAACCACCGCCGCAGCCCAAACGAAGGCGGCTGCCTCAAGCAGGAAGAGGAGTCAGAAGAGCCCCGACGCAGCAGCAGAGCCCGCTCAGAAGAAGCCCCGCGTTACGAAGGCGAAGACGGCAAAGGCTGCGGCACCCACGGCCTCCAGCGTAAAGACGTCACCAGCAGCGCCCAATACCGCCGTGCCCACCCCAATTCCCAACGCGGAGGGCGAGGAGCTCGTTCCAGCCGTGCTCACCTTCTCCTTTGAAGAGGCAAGGCGGCACCTCGTTCGCGTGGATCCGCGCTTCGAAGATGTGTTTCGAAGAGTCAAGTGCAGACCGTTTGAGCATCTCGAACGCGTCGATCCCTTCCGGTATGCACGTGTCTTCCTGACACAGATCTACACTGAGCAGGGTGCGATATGACAGAACGCTTGCGCACTCCATCTTGTGAGACCATCACCCGGAGTGTACCTACTTGCTAAGACTGACCGTTGGCGCACGAGCCAGGGGCCAACAGATATCATGGAAAGCCGCGGCATCTATAACACATAAATTCGTGCGCCTATTTGACCCATCTCTTCCGGAGAGTCTTGCGGATTCCAAGTAAGCCCATCGTCTCGGGATAACCTAGCCAGGCGCTGATCCTTGCATGACTCGGAAGGTCTAACTTCTTCCCATCCGCACATCAAGTTATCACCAAGGATATCGCGACTTTGCGCAGCGCTGGACTTAGTGGCCGGAAAGCGGAGTATGGTCAGTAGATTTGCTCAGAACAAAGTGGCGAGGACCGACCATGAACACATCTGGCAGTCCTGGATCTTGCTGGGCGGTTTGCGGACGGCCGCCTATCGACAAGGAAGTTGCTTCTGGCCGATGACGAGGAGTTGTACAAGATGTTGATAGAAGTGCGGGGCATCGGAAGAGTGAGTGTCGTACTATCTACGAAGTGATCACCGGTCTCTTACGAAGTGTCCCTTCATATCGTAGTGGACCGGTAAGTCTGAACCGACACTCATCGGGGATGTCGCTCACCCGTGTCACAGTCGACATGTTCGCGATGTTCTCGCTGCGGCGGCCGGATATCCTTCCTGTCGGCAAGTCTTCTCGCTGTATGATGAAGTTTCGCATTTTGACGCTCGTCTATATCGATTCAGGGGACCTGGGCGTGCAAAAGGGCATGCTGCGCTGGTTCGTTTCC